TTTCCTCAGTCCAGAGGGAATGTCTATCTGGTTACAACCCTGTTCAGCCTAGCCAGGTTAGACTAACCTGCAAAGATTGAGTCAATTCAGTTTCAGGCTTTTTGGTTGTGTGCCTCTAGCCCTTGAGTGTATATTGGCCACATTTTACAGAAGTAGGGCATTGGCTTCTGTGGTTCCCATTTTACCCATGGAAGGTTAGGATGTTAGGTCTATGGTGTGCCAGAGTTGAGGGTAGTCTTTATGTAGAATTGAGATTTTGTATGGGATGGTTTGGATAGGGAGGATCCTGCCTCAGGCAGGGGGTTGGACTAGATGACCTCTGGAGGTCACTTCCAGCTCTACTTGTCTATGACTGTATGAGTCTCTTCTAGCTAAGGGTGCATTAGTTTTGCATTTCCATCAAAATTTCAACAAACTTTTAGTTTTTGTCAGCATATTCTTTAAGTTTTCAGGCTTCAAGAAACCCTCTGAAACATACAAACATTTTGTTTCAAAATTAACATTTCCTTTTGAAATTTTCAAGTTAAGGAAGAACTTTAAAAAATGGAAAAAAGACAACATTGAATGACAAAATGCAACCAGCTGTATTCAGCATAGCTCTCAAGCTGCACACTCCCTGTTCAAAAGGGTAGTGCTCCCTCATATGAATTGCTACTTCTAAATGCCAGTATGGTTATTATACAGCCTATCATAGTTGCTGCTTTTCTTGAAGCAGGGCTGTGGCTATGTTCAATCAACATACAGTGCAATGGCAATTCAGCTCAGAGTAATGGCCTTGGGGGACCCACTGAGCTTAAACCACACTTGCCAGTCACACATGGGGAATTGTTGATTGACATTATCAGAGAGGAACTTTTTTTATGGAGGGCAACCACCCTACAATTGTCATTCTGCTCTGGTTGACAGCTCTGTGAAGGAGGAACAAAAGGCCCACCAGACTAAAGGTGATTCCTAAACAAGAAGATGAGGAAGAAAGAGCCCCCTCTGCCCTACCATGTGTAACAGGCAGTGTCAGATGGGGTTGGCACAAGGAGATAATTCTTATTTAGGGTGTTACCTATTTCTCCTTGTGCAAATGTGCAGGGCAATAGTCTTAAGGGCTGAATTCTGTTTCCCTTTTAACTCAGGAGAAGGATTGTCACTCCTGCAATGGGTGCTGAGCCTGAAAATAACACTTGAAACTCTCGTTTTCCTAATGCTGCTGCCTTCTCATCAGGGATAATATAATAGACAATATTATTTGCAAATTCTCTAACACTATTGTTAAAATAATTTTCAATTGTAATTTGTAGTTCTCTGTTTTTAATATTGTCTCTGCTGGCCAGAGAGTTTGAATACTGTACCAGTGCTTCTTGTTTTCTCAGCAAGGACTTGGCTGCTGATTGAAGCTTTTATCACTGAGCAGGCAAATATTAATGTGTTAGCAGAATAACAATGAAACTGAAGTGAATCAGACCAGCATTATCTAATATAAACTCTATTTCCCTAACAGTGTGAAATGTTCTTTGGGTTTTATCATCATAATCCTTTAGACTGATGACAATGATTTATTTCTGCTAGATGAATGAAGAAACCAATTGGTGAATTACTGGATAGATGCTTTGTTAAATTAGCCTCAAAGTGAATGGGAGTCTTGAATTGTTTTTCATTCTTTCTTGTCATTACATTATATGGAGTTTATGGACTTAATTCTTTTCTTTCTTATATAACTGCAAAGCAGAGTAACTTCTCTGAAGTCAGTGGGTTTTGAACAAAGGAAAATTAATTGTTCCAATTTGGCTTAAAATGCTTTAAAAAAAATCTTCAAATTCTATTTTTTCTCCCCACTTTTTGAAGGGAAGTGAGATAGGTTATTTCTAACAGTTTTTTTAGTCAACAGAACTAAAGAAAAAAGTTTTAGGAAACTAATATGCTACAGTACTGTTTTTATTTATTTTAGTGACCTTTAAGATGAAGCAAATCTCTGACTGTTTTGTAAATCCAAGGAGTACAACAACTAGGACTGATGTTTCAAATGTTCTAAACACCCATAATTGCTATCCATTTACCTTTAGTTGTGAGCATTCAGCATTTAGAACAATCATGCCCCACATGTATGAGAATTTTAGTGCAACTGACTAAGAACTGAACAGTCAAGTTTTGCTACGCAAGTCAATCAAATGCAGTATTGTCAAATATGGAGCAAAGTAGCGCAAGGCACTGCCTGGCTTTTGGTAATTGTTTGGCAGCAATAGTAAAATATATGTGGAATTTAGAACAGATAGACATACAATGTTTTCACCTATCATTTTTCCTTTAAAAATGGATGGTATGAAAGATCTGCAAGAATTCCGCTGTATTTTCCTGCATGGAACTGCCCATTAAGACTGGTTGAGCCCAGTTGTTTCCATTTTTAGTGATAACTTAAAACAGTTATTCCTACGGCGTATTGTGGCTTTTAGCCGCCCAACGGAAGAAATACTCAACACATGAGTGTTTATGGTAGCTTGCTGTGGGGTGAATCTAATGCGTGGAGTGCTTGCAAGTGCTAAGCTCCAAGCTTTTGGCATGGAGAACATTTTACCACACTCCTCACCCCTCACAGTTTTCAGTGGTGTTTATTATGCTACTGCTAACTAGATTCCAAACTGACAGCGTCCTCTTCCTTCAGCAGCAGAAATGCAAGCCCTTTAGTCTGTTTTTTTGTAAGAGATGGGAAGTAAAATTGCCTTTGCACAGAGACAGAGAAGCCACATTTTTCATGCTTGTTTGTGTGATTTATGTATGGACAGGTGGTCTTTTTGTACAAAAAGGCAGAAAGGAGAGCACCTCTAAAGCCTCTACCAATTGGAATATAATACAGCCCTATAGCATAAGCAGTTTTTGAAGGGAAGTCATGTGTAAAATGAGAAATAAAGGTCTCTTATGGAGCTTCCTAAACAATTGTTCATTAAGCTAAAGAACAGCCTGACTACCAGAAAGCAGCAGGGACACTAAATCCTCAGCTCTTCACAAACACTGCTACTGCTGTGGCACTGGATTTAGGTGTTTGTATAATGCCTTCACAAGGTTTGATTTAAATGAGGCTTTTTGTTAAATAGCATAAGGCAAAACAGTAGCACACAGCTGCTGTGCAGGATCTGAGGTGTGTTCAGAATCCTGTAAGCACAGACAGAGAAGGGTGGGGTTGTGTTTTAGTGAACACAACAGCCTGCTCCCCACAAGATGTGAGTGACCTTTTCTGCAGGCTGCTTTGCTTCCTCCATGCCCTTCACCACTTGCTTTGGGATGCCTTGGATTTATTTCAGCTTCTGACTTTACACAGTTGTCCTTCTTGGGTCTTGCATATGGCATTTCATTTTCAAATAAAAGATACTTCACAATAGTAAACAAGTGTTGCTTTGGAACACAAAAGTGCTTACCCTTAAGCACTGTGCAGCAGGTCATTTCTGTGGCATCCAAGAAAGTCTGTAATCTAAACATTTAGTAATTGTTAAATTTTCACTGTGATGTGGGATTAAGCCCCTCAGTGAATATTAGTCATTGTAGTTATGTGACATAGCTTTGCACAACACTTATACAAAACAGTTAATGACTGCTATATTTTGCCTGTACATGGTCAGAGACCTACCATTACATAATGAATTGGTTTGTGTAAGGGCTTTGCAATACCTTGAATAAGAAAGACACTGCTATTTATAAAACTGATTTCTCTTCCAAATTTCTATCCTTGTTTGTTTGTTTTTTTAACAAGCCTGTGAGTTGTCATTTGCTCAGGGTCACCACAGCACATTCAGAATTTGGGCTGAAACTGTTCAGTCCAATGCCTAGGGGTGCAGTATTCTGTTGTGCCTGGCATGTGTATAGAGACAGAGAACAGTGCATAATACTATACTGTTTATAAACTACAATACTTAGGCAAGAAGAAGTGCTGCTTCCTTTTTGATTTATCCTGCGGCCTTCCAGCCTTGTGATGCCACATTCTCTTAGGGTTGTGCAGTATCTTCTTTCTTTACCTCAGAGTGAGGTCCTGACAAGTTATCACAGCGCAGTTTTCCCATGAGGAGAATATTAACCTCAGTAATCTGGACAAACTCCATCAATGGTAATTGTATCCCTACCTACTTTAAATTTCCATGCATTTTCATTTGGATACTTTATTTTTCACCTTCCTGTACTAGACAGATGTATTATGCTGTTTAAATTACTGTTGTGCTCTATCCTGAATGGATTCTAGGGCACTCTGATCTATAATTAGGTATCCTTTTGGGTGAAAGGGACTATGTAAATACAATCTAATATTATCCTGCACTGGTGCAGTGTTAATCTACATGATACTTTGACCTTCCATTTGATGCTCTGTTAGCATGTCAAAATTGAATTTAAATCAGTGTTAAGGATTTTTTTCACAGCTTTAATTAAACCAGGACAGAAGGGCCCTGGGGGTTTAGGGAACTATAGTCATCTCTTAAATATAGTTCTTGTAGCCACACAATAATCAATGCCAGAATTTGAACTAGGAGCAGAACTAAGAAGACCAGATTTCCAGTCCTTGGTCTAACCACCCTTCTTTGCTTCTTCCTTGTTTATTGCCCCATCACTTCTGTCAGCTGTCTCTTGTGTACAAGTTGATGAAGGTGACTTTCATATTCTTTTGTGTAAGGTGGTAATGTTTTCTTTTCTTCTGTTTTCTTCTGCTTTGCTCATGCCATTTGAATGAAAGGTACATTCCCAATGCACAGTTTTTTGGCTCTGTATACCAGGAATTTAAAACTTTAAAGTTTTCCTTTATAAAAAAAAGCTGGGTGATCCCAGTCTCTCAAGCTTCCTCATTTTGGTTTTGAAAGTAGGGCTAGAAACAGGGCTTCTTATGCCTTGGAACTAATCCCTACGCTTCTTCCTTTTCCCCTGTTTCTTTTCCGCCTTCTCCCAATTCCCCCACATTCCTCGGTGGTTGCTGCTACAAACAAAGATTGTACGTGTTCTTGTCTATAAAAAACGGTCTTATTTTCTGTTGCTAGGCTACCCCATTCCAGTTGCCATTGAAGAAATGCTCCGTGGTGGGAAATGGTGGGATCCTGAAAAACAGCGGCTGTGGGAGACAAATAGATCAAGCAGATTTTGTCATGCGGTAAGACTGAACCCACCCTGTGGCATCATCATCTCCTCCCTGTGAAAGCCTGTGACCTTTCAAAGCTATTTGTTTGTGATTAATCAATGCCTTTCTTCTTCCCAGGGTGATTTATACAAGTGATTTGGGGTGGGGTGGGGTGCGGTGGGGTTGAGGAGGGAGGGAGATGGCAGTAGTTGCAGACTTGTATGCTCTCCCTGGCAATACAGGAGCTTGTATCTCTGGGAAACACGTAAACAGATTAATAGGGCTGTTCTGGACATCAGTCTGCAAACACAATAGCTGTGAGAAGGAAGTGAAAGCTACCTTGTTTTTTTGTTTCCTAATTATGCTGTGTTAGACAGGGTACAATCTTGGTGGGTGCAGAGTATCACCTATAAAGTCTAAATACCAAAATTCTTGCAGGCCATTGAAATTAACATGAGCAGGTAGCACTTGACAAGAAGAAATACTTAAAATGAGTCATAAGAGCTTAATGTCTCCTCCTGTGACTTTTTTTCTCCCAAATATTCCATTCTGACCACTCGAGACTGGAGCAAAGTTGTTCCGTGACCAAGTTTTCTTTCAACAATTTGCTTCCCCTTTTCACTCGCATTTCTGAAGCCATGAGAATCTGTCAAGTAGGAGGTAGTGCCGTATAGTGCTTTCTTGATTGAATTTGGCACTTTCTAGATTTGCACTGTATAATGGAAGAAAGAAAGAAATTAATTCCTTTTTGTTAAACATGAACCAGAAAAACTGTGGGGGAGAAGGGTGGAGGAACATTATTCCATTTTTCATCTCAATGGGAGTTTCTCAGGGTTTTGAAATGGATGCATAATTAAGTCCCACTTTTGAAAGTCCCCTTATCAGAATTTGATAGCTTATTATAAAACTGCACTGATTTGTGCAAATTGTGCATTCCTACCATAATTTTAGGAGACTAAAATACCTTCCATAAAGCAACAGAGAACTATAATGAGCTACAGACAAAGGAAACATATACCTGAAATATACACAGAAGAAAAACACCAGACACAGGAGAGAGGGAGAGACTCAGTGGATTTATGCCTCTTAAAGCACTTCAGTTTCGCCTTTGCACCTAAATACCATTACTCTGGTAGGCTCTGTATTCATTTTGCTTGCTGCACTGCTTAGTTATTTGTAACTGATGTAAACCGTGGTAGTTACAAAGACAACAAACATTTTATGAGAAGCCAGATTGATCAGGAAAATAATTTTATTTCCAGAAAGAGCAGACCGGCAGTAGCCTATTCAAAGTCTGTTATGGGTTGGAAATAAGTGATAGGGAAACACCTACAAAATCTCAAGAGCTGATTACAGGCAGTATTGTTTTAGTCATACATATATTTTGGGGGAAATGTTTCAGATCACTTAAATGTAAGGGACATTACAGTGATGAAAAAATCTTTTGATTAGCAGGTGGAATAAGGGAGAAGATTGAATAGGCCTTTTCCATCTCTAATTCTATAGATGTTTATGTAAAAAAAAACACTTCATGAAGATGGTTTTAAAAATTACATACATTCCTTTCAATTCACTAATAACTTCCTTTAAAATATCTCTTCAAAACTGAATATTATCTCAGTTTTGGAAATATTGCTGATTTATTTTGTTCAGATTGTTCTAGATTTCATTTAAATGTGTTCAGGTGCTATTCCCTGCCCCTAAGCTGTCATCACAAGATTAAAGCAATATTTTTTGATATGTTGGAGTTGCTGAAGCTTGTTAGTTACACAGAGAAATACAAAAGGGAAGGGTCTAAACATTCTCCGTTGCTGAGCACATACTCCTCCACTACACTTATAGGAAACTTATAGTAGAACCCTGGTTCTCAGTCTCTCGTCTAAGGCATGGTACATCACATCTAAAACTAAAAAGTACGTGGAGTGCAGCCAGCATCATTTCTACCCCAAGTAGTTGTAAAGGGATCTTCTGATGCCACACTGGGAGCCAATCTTTCTACACCTTCTGGGGCCAGCAATTCCTTTACATGAAGGGAAAATATTAGTGGCCCTACCCTAATTTTTAAAAAAAAGACTAAGAAAAGGTCTTAAAAATAAAATCTATACAATTTGTTTGTTTGTTTTGAGAGACTGAAAGAAGAGCTTGACCTGAAAGGGTGAGGACATTCAGTAAAATGGGGGAGAAAATTTGTTTTGCTTTAGGTTATAAAAAGAATTACAGTACCTCATGACTCACCTTTACTTGCCTTTTGTATTATTCCTCAGGGTCTTATGGGTGAATGTGACTTGAAATCAGTGATTCTCAACTAGGGTGCCATAGATTGTTTTGAAGGTACTCCAAAGTGCTTCACAGCATAGGATTTAAGAGTACAAATAGGAATCCATAGTGACAAGAGCCAGATCGATTGTGGATTTTCTGAGTTCTTTGCAACAGAAGAATTGATCTATTATTTTACCATAGTCAAAAAAAAAAGAGTGAAAGCTAAGAGCTGGCATTTTCTGAGGGGTGTCTCCAGTCTAGAAAGGTTGAGAAGCGTGGCTTTAAACTAACATTGGTGCCCCCTGGTGGTGGTGGCTTGTTTGGAACCATTGCTTTAGAATAAGAAATCTAAATGCACATTTAAAATCACATTCTTTTTCATTAAAATAATCTAGATTTGCTATTTTTTACCCTTGTCTATAGGGCCAGGTACAGACATCACACTTTTAACGGTATAAGTGTTCAGAAACTGGTCTATATCTGTAACAGAACAGAACTTTGATACACACAGATTGGTGTAAAAATGGCAGAACCTGATCTAAGATTCCCTGCCCAGTCCCCAACAAAAGGTAAATGTGTGTTCTGTTCACTACCCATCTAAACTACGCTGCTTACAGAAAACTGTGCAACTTAGATTGGTTCTGCCTCGGGCTTTTTGAATGTCTGTACCTAGCCTAAGACAGTTAAGACAATACATTTAACAGAGATGTAGATTATACAGCATTGTACTTAAATAAATTCACCACCTTTACCAACTCAGCCTGCCATTGCTAATGTACATCCATAACATTTACCTTGTAAACATTTGCTTTTTATCTATCAGATATGAAAAAGGTAACCTTTTTCTTGGACAAAATTCAAGCAGCACTTATTGCTTTAGATAAAGTAATATTTACCAGGTCTTCTATGGCAAACTGTCAAATGGAGTATGCTTTTGCGGCAAGTACACCCTAAAGGTGTCCCTAAAGAGTTTTGGCATCGACCTAGAGCCATGGGACCAAATCACTTGCAACTGTCCATCCTGGAGCTCCCAAATCCAGAATGGATCATTGGCCTTTGAATAGCAATGCACAGCAGAAGCAATGAAGAAATGCGTGGCCAGGAAAACAAAAACCTCCTGTATCCATCCCTTATCACTCTCCTGTCCCTGCTGCAGCAACTTGTTCAAAGCAAAGATTGGACTTATAAGTCACTTACATACTCACGTGACCTATCCTCCATGACCCCTTTGTTTTCTTCCCTTTCCCTTTTTTTCTGCTTTTCCTTCTTTCTCCTTTTCTCTTTTCTCCTTCCGTTTTTCTTTCCCACTTCTTTTCTCTCTTCTTCCCTCCCCTCCCCCTGCTGGATGCAGTTGTCTTTGCCCATGAAGGACTAAAGTATGTATATTCACCAGTTACAGCTGCAGTTACCTACCTGCCTACCTGAGCAGTAGTCTCAGCTGTAAAAAAGGCATATTTGGTGAAGTCAACTGCTCCCTGAAAGGACTTGCATGTTAATCATATTTTTCTCAAGTGTCTGGGTGTTAGTATGAAAACACAATCAATACCATCCATAGACTGATATGTTTGGTTGCATAATTGTCTTAAGACCAAAAAGCCAGGACGTTTACATAAACTTTTTGCCTCAAGAAATTATGTTCGCACCCCTGCATACATATTCCCCAACATCAAATGAGTCATGAAGTGACTGATAAGGTGTTGTTGTATAATTCAAAATGCACGTTCCTCCCTAGTGTGAAGTTTCCATATCATGGTCTTTTTTGCAACATTATGGTCTGGCCCTCGACACTGTGCTGATCAGCTTAAAAACTAATCCAAATGGCCAAGATGCATCATCTGACCAGTTTGTTTCTTGCTGAGTTCTAGCTGGATGTTCAGTTTATTTCTTAATATTCCATGCACATCCACTGAAAGAGAGATTTACTGATGAAGAGATTTTGATGTTTTTAAATGAGGCACCTGGGACTGGTTTATAAAAGTTAATATCTTTATTCACATATTTACATGATATATTTTATGGAGATAGAGCTATGAAAGACCATGATTTAAACAAGCATGAATAATAAGTACAAATGAGTCAATGAAAACTTGATATATGTGTTTATGTCTGTTAAAATCATTGTATCATAGAACTGCAGGATTTGAAGACATCTCAAGAAGTCCATCTCCCTGCTCTGGGAAAAAATCAGAAATACCTAGGCCATCCCTGGCAGATATTTGTTTTACGCTCTTGTTAAAATATCTGGTGAACAAGATTCCATAGCCTTCTGAGGTAGCCCCTTCCTGTGTTTCACTATGCTTATAAGGTAATTTGGCTTCCCTAGTATCTAACCTATATCTCCTTTGTTGCTTATTAATCTATTTTCCTTTGTGGACACACATGATTTAAATGCACATAAACACATATATCCACTAATCACTCCTCTTTTTATAGTAACCTTTTTCATATTTGAAGATTGTTATCAGTCTTCTCTTTTGGAATATATATATCTAATTCTTTTGAATTTTTCACATAGATCATGGTCTCTGGACAGCTCTCTTGGATTCTTTCCAGTTTGTCTGCACTTTTCTTAAGACATAGTATTCAAAATGGAAACACTACTCTAATCCAGGCCTCATGCAATATTCACCTTTCATCTTTGCAGTATCATGAAAAAGAAATATGGCATGAAGGTCTAAGTTTTTCTCTGTGCATGTGTATGACCACATATAGCTTCCCTGTACAAAGGACTTAAGCTTCATAGTGGAGTTTTCTTACAACATGAGTTTAAGCAT